TGGATTGAGCGATGATTTTGGTATCAGAAAAATTGTTTTTTACATCACTGTAACGTCACTGTAACGTCACCACAATATCAAATATCCCGCAACCCAAATACAGCGTATTTGAAATGTTGCAAAAATCTTCCGTGCTTAGCTTGAGTCGTTAAATCTGAAAGTGTAAACTGGTGAACGCATCAGTCCGTCTCGAACTAAAGAACTAATAATCTTATCAATTCTTTATTTTAACTCTTTTTCAAACTAATTGTTCAATACAAGGCCCAAGAGCCAAGGTTTTGATATGAAGAGAGGAAGGTAAGAAGTGCATTTTATGAGAATATGTTAGAAAGATAATGTTTCACCTTAAATATGGAGAGGTTAATATTATAGCAGTCAACTCCCCGATTTATGAATAAAATAGCAGGAGAAACTAAGCCAACTAGCATTGATAGGGCAACCAGTTTAGAAAATTAACAATTCTACCTTCAAGACTTCATGGGCTAACGTGGGAGGCTCAGTTCTATTACTACCCAGTCATGATATGGAAATGAATATTTTGACGAAATTTGATCCATTTCCTTTCATCAAGTCTCTCTCCACCCCCTTCTCTTTCTTCTCCTTCCCTTTCTCGCTCTTTCTTTCTGTTGATATATACATATATATGAGTGTTTTAAGGAAACGTGAACTTTAGTCACCTTCCTCCGTCGATTCTTTAGAGAAGTCGGTTTATATATTTCCTTAATATTTGAGCAGAAAATGAGCCAAATTCCAATCATTTAAGAAACCAAAATAAATTTTAAAAAAACAGTTAAACTTTCTTTGCGAAGAATTTAGAAGTATCCATTCCAAATGGTTATCAATGTTTGTTTTTCTTTTTCTTGTTTGTTTGTTTTTTGTTTTTTTGTTTTTTTGACAAGGCAAATTAATAGACAAAGGAATAAAGAGGAATCTAAAAGAACCTTCGTCAATATGAACAGTAATTACTAGACATGGCCACTGAGTAGTTGGACCAGCGGTTAACAATTTTGGTACATAGACGAGAACTATGTTAAGAATTCGATCCTCATGGGGATTCCACATTTATATCATTTTGTTAAATTAAAGCTAAACTTAACAAATACTGAGAAAATTGTGTCCCTACTATATATATATATATATATATATATATATATATATATATATTGAACAATAAGAAAATAAAAAATTAAAATCTTTGAACACACTGGGTTGTAGATTAATATTCTTTCGTTTTTTTTTTTTTGTTATTATTCCATTTAGATTCCTCGACTAGTTTCGACCGAAATGGCCATCATCGGGAGGAGAAATATTTCTGCTTGCTGGTAGTAGAGAACTACAGAAATGAATGTCTTGATGGAGAAAATGAACTTTTGTCTGTAGTTTTCATTTGTTTTTTTATTTTTTATTTTCTTATCTTTTTAACATGAATCTTTTAACATTCCTTGTGTTGGTCAAACAGTCTCTTTTAAGTTGTTATCTGAAATAAGAGCTGGATAGATACATATTATTCTGAATTCTCTGGTCAGTTTGACAGTTTTATTAAACCTGGTGAGGGGATGTGTCTCTGTTTAGTGTTTATGTGTGTGTGTTACTTGGTTCTTAGGGAGTGAGTGAGTATGATATGTGTAAGCGTGTGTATTGCTGTAGGTGTGTGTTATGATTTGGTTCCTTAGGGAGTAAGTGAGTATGATGTGTGTAAGTGTGTATATTCGTGTGGGTGTGTGTATAAGTGTGAGGCCTCCACACCTCCGTAAGCATGTCTGTCTTGTGTGGGTGAGAAGTGTAGGTAGGTTTTGATTTGTTGACTATCTATATGTTGTTAAATTTATGATTTAGCCCGGCTGGATATTGTTTTTAGACGTTGTATCCACTTATTTTCATGGGACTCTAAAATCTTTCTAATGTTATCTGCTCTGAACTTTTCTATTCTCTCAATTATAGTGAATTTGGCATGGGTTTTGAAATCATGTTTTTCCAGGCGGAAATGTTGTTCTACAGGTAATAATTTTTCATGGGGAGTCGATTTAATTCGCTTACGATAATTATTAATTCTGTAGTGAAAGGGCCATTCAGATTTTCCTACATATTGTTTCTGGCATAGTGTGCATTCTAGGAGGTAAATTATGTTATGACTTCTACAGTTAGAATCGTGGTAGATTTTGAAAGTAGATTTAGTGATTGAGCTAGTGAATGAATTCGTGTTTTTAATATGGTTGCAGCATAAACTTCTTTTGTTGTTACATGGTTGGGAAAATCCTGTTGTTTTTGTTCTTAGTTCATTACGGATTACCTTGTCCCCTGAAATGTGGTTACTACCTATGATTTCTTTTAGGTTCTTAGGTCTACGATATGCAAGAAGGCCGGGTTCCTTAAACAGTTTTTTTAGGTCTGGTTTGAGATGTAGTATTTCCCAGCGATGTTTGATTATTTGGGATAGTGGAGGCAGAGTGGGATTGAAAGTGGTTACTAGAGGGATGCGGCTAGATTTATTTTTAATCTTGTACATTAGGGTGTCTTCTCCAGGTGTGGAAATTGCTTTATTTATTTGTTCCCTGATTAGGTGTTGTTTATAGCCACGTGTTGTGAATTGATGCTCCAGATTTTCAATGTGTTTATTTAATTCTTCATTGTTGGAACATATCCTTCTGAGTCTAAGTGCTTGTGAGTAGGGAAGGTTCTCTTTGAGGTGTTTAGGGTGGGAAGACTTAAAGTGTAGATAGTTGTGGGTGTCGGTTATTTTAGTGTGTAGTGTCGTTTGTAGTTTCCTGTTTTACATCTATGTAAATGCGGGTGTCTAAAAATGTTACTGATGTTGTGGATTTTTCATAGTCAAACTTAATTGAGTCGTGCACTGTGTTTAGGGTCATAAGGAATTGGGTAAGTTTGTCATCACTACCCGTGTATACAAAGAATATATCATCGATATATCTTGCATAGAATACGTAGTCGCTACCAATGATTGGATAGATATGGGTCTCCTCAAATTTTACCATATATATATATCTTTGTTCAATCCCAGCATTCTCATGCTAATTCTCTTTACTGGACGTCGTTCTCCTCTTTGAACAATGGCGCAACACAATCTTCCTTATCTAATTGTTGACATTTTGCATGATTAAAATACGCTTAGTAAAAGTAGTATTAATAAGGCTGAATACGTTTATTAATTTAGGAAAATAAATTGCTTGAAGAAAATCATACGTGTTGAGTTTTAAATTGTTATTATTCGTCTCTAAATTGACATCCGATTGCTGGAAATTGCGAGGTAGCCTAATGGTTATTAAAGTGAAAATGGATATACCAGTCCAAGTCCAAATATTTTACGGAAGAGGTTCATAATGATTGCTTTGGAAAATAATAAAGCCAGTACTTTTTCACAAGACAATGTTACAATGCTAATCAAGTCAGATATTTTACTGCCTGCTATGATCGGCCCCTTCGCTTGCTATAATTTCATAAAACAGTAGCTCCTCTCATGGCCTTCGACAAATTCCTTCAGAGGCGAAATCAGAAGACGCTTGATATGAAGAAGAAGAAGAAGAAGAAGAAGAAGAAGAAGAAGAAGAAGAAGAAAACTTTTTCTCATCTATTCTTTTCTCATCAACTATTTGCCACTTGACCAGAAAACAAAATTAAATTTAGATTATAGTAAGAAAAAAAATCACTCATTAAACGTTAGGATTTATTCTATTTAAACCAGTGATTACCAACGTGAGGCGCATGCCACACCGGTGGGGCATGGTAATACTTTGGTGGGGCATGCGTAGGATATACACCCTTCAGCTTACAATACCAACAAAATAAGGGGGGCAATTCGAGAATAAGTTGTTAACAGTGAATTGTTTTATAGTGAGCTCAGATTTCATTTTGCATTATTATTTCATGATTAAAAATGATCAAAGTATATTATAGAATAATTCATTGAAATATTTTATATTTCTGCCTTTCAGTTCTCTATTATACGTTTTGAAACTTTATATATTTAACTGTCTTTTTGTTTTTTTAATTTTTCTCTTTCATTGACGTCATGGTCTTTGGAAGCTTGTTCAGTGACTAAGTTAATGGCTTTTTAATCTCCCTTCGCGTGAATTGCAGTAAAATTTTGAATATGTAAGAATTAAATATTACAGGGTGGGGCACCTGAATTTTAGAAATACCAAAGTGGGGCATGGCCATAAATCGGTTGGGAATCAATGATTTAAATATTTATTATACGAATAATATATATTTAGTGAACTTGTTTAGTCGGTATTCAATGAAAATGGAACTCGCTACTGTCGTAAATCATTTGCTGTCGTAAATCATTTCCTGTCATAAATCATTTGCTGTTCAATGCCTAACGCTGGTTTGCCAAAATTGCAGTTATCTTGGTTCTTTAAAAAAATGTTTTTGTTCTATAGTGTTAAGTTTGCGAGCCACTATTCACGCGTAAGCCGTCACAGTTTCCTCATCAAGTAACCAGGACATTTTTGATCCAAAGATTTTCTAGTCTTGAAAGGAAAAATCTCTATGAATTACATCGTCTGTTCCCGCATATGATCTTTCAAGGAAGTTCAGTGGGCTCTGGGGATTCATCATCCGAAGCAGTAAATGCTCACTGAACTTCTTCAATATGTCAAAAAATATGTCTACCTGAAAGGTTATTGTGAAAGAACCGAAAATGAGCGAATATTTGGAGATAATAAAAAAAATCTCTCATAGACATAATTTTTTAAATGAAGACGTTAAAAAATTTTCAGTTGTTTAATGACAATCTGATTCGCATCAGTACTTCGTCGAATGCCTTATATTTCCAAACACAAACATCAGCTCCTATCATCGCAATCTGTTGCCGCCAAATGTTAGAATAGAAAATGAATGAGAAAGTTACATCAACATGAAATTCACCTGTACCAATTTTTTGTTATGGTTGCGATATTCACACATTATTTCGTTTGTCCGCTAAGCGGCAGGCAGAACACCAACAGAAACTAGTCAGGAAAATTCTAAGAAACGCCTTAATGACAACGCCACCTCCTTTCCCGCCAATCCTTACTCATGCCCGACACCCATTCCGCTATCTACCTACCCCAACCCCAACAAGCCCATCTTTTGATGGTCGTTCGTTAGATTGCTTTCTTCGCTTCAATGGCAGGTAATGATTAAAGAAGGAATGACGAACCGGAAGTACATTCATTGATTGAACAATTTAACCAGCATTTCTTCGAAAGACTTCTTCGAGACATGCCCGACTTCCAAATTGGGTGGGTCGCCGAAAACCCACTTAAGCCTTTCAATTTCGGTGATTTATTCAAAAAATAGTTTCCTTTTAAGGATTCATTTTTTCCTTCTGTTGCTTTTTATGTCAATCTGTTTTTCTTTCTTCCTCTCTCTCTCTCTCTCTCCCTCTATCGGTCTCACTCTCTCTCCCTCTTTCTCTCTCTCCATTATACTTTTATTTCTCTCTTACTTTTTGTCCATTTTGCTCTTCTCTCATAATATTCGCATTTATTTTCATATATGTAACACATTGAAATGCATGTAGACGTTTATATAGATGTTGACATACAATCACACACACACACACAGATAGATAGATAGATAGATAGATAGATAGATAGATAGATAGATAGATAGATAGATGTCAGTTATGTGCCACGCGTAATACACGCTTAGGCGATCATGTATCTTTCGATACCTGGCTGTCGAGGCAATTTTTTTTGACGCAGTAGGTTGCCATTTCTTTCTGAGGTAGACCAATTGCCATTCAAAATTATGGATCTCGGTCTGTTCTGCTATTTACCCATAAATGGGGGAGAAGACAAGGATTAATACTTTTCCCAAGGGTATTAGCACGTAAGTGAATGTAATTGATTCGACTGGAATTCGAACTCGACTCTCCGATTCCTCAATCCGAGCCGCTATCCATTATTCCACCGTGCCTGGAAGAGCTTCCCGAAAAGTATCCTACTGTTCAATATTAAGAGAAAATGTCCTCCCTAGGGTAATGGATCCCGACAAAATAGTTTCCTTAGAAGTAATCCCCACCATACATTCCCATTTTCAAAACTGTCGACAAAGTTCAGTTTTGGGGTTGCCATCAGCTGCCACGTTTTCCTTAATCGCACTCATGATATTTCGTTGTAATTTTATTTTTAGAAAAAAAAAATGTGTACCAGGAAGCCAAATCTGGACTGCAGAGGAATTGACTAAAACCCGAGTGATGTAATAGTTTCCCTGCAAACTCATAAATAATCTACTCGCAATGGTCATTGTAAAAGTGGCTCTTATATAGTAGACAAGCTTATTCAATGGCGATGCACTGCCAAATGAGTGACATTGCAAGAATGTTTCTGTCCATACTAGCAAAATAACATATCTTCTGATTGGATGTCAAGTCACATTAAGGCCGCACAACCGATTGTCAAGATATTCAAAATGGCCACTTAAGTTCCGGACATGCCTCGTATATATGTACATGCACATATACACTATTTTTATTTAGTTACATATTTATATAATTACATCACGAACGGATACAGCTCATAAAAACGAGGAAGATTGGATATATATTTAAATTAAGCTTGAAAGGTCAGCATTTTTGTTGGAACTTCGTTCTTAAAGTCAATTTCTTTTCTCTTATAAAGAAAATAAATAAAACATTATCGAATTAAACAGAAATTAATTCATGCACACTGATAGAACATAAATCTTGTCATGTATAAAGATATGTTTTTTTCTTATATTCAATGGGGTTTTTTTTGGGGGAGGGGGGGCATAAATTCAAGTAGCTTCGAATTGGAATTGCTCTAATAGCAGTTGAAGTCTAAAGTCGGTTTCCTATTGAGATTTCATTATTAAATATATATTTGCCTTTATTTTCATTTGTTTTTAATCATTTGTTGATTTTATCGACATTTTATAATTCATAATTTAGTACTGCTAGTCTTTTTAAAATTAAACCAATCTAGCAAATGTGTATGTGTACGCACACACACACTTGAGTCTTACGTTCTCTCTCACTTTCTTACTTTTTTTCTCTTGCTAAATATATATATATATATATATATATATATATATATATATATATATATATATATATATATATATATATATATATATGCATGTTTCATTAAAACGACAGACAACGTACTACGGTTGCTTTTTTTTTCTGGACAAAGAGTGTGTAAAACTGTACAAATGTTTTATAGTTCCAAGCGCTTTCGGGTATACCTTTAGCCATTATCAAGAATGGTTCAATTTTTTCAACTTAATTGAGTGTATGCATTATGTGTATGCTTTAGTGTGTTGTGTGGATGTTTTTATTTCTGTAAAAATTTATCTGTTTGAATTAGTTGGGCTCTTATGTCCATCGTCTTTTGTGTTAAATTGTTATAAGTTATAATGTTAATTATGTTTAACTGAAAATGTCCATGAAGATGGTCTTAAATAGACCGAAACGTCCGACGTCGACTTTATTTTAACATTAATAATGCATATTCAGAATTTTGTTTTTTCTGTATTTTTCTTTCATACTGTCGGATTTATATCCATATATTTGCTTACATATATATATATATATATATATATATATATATAAAAGGCAATTCTAACTGTTTTTTCTTTCTTTTTAACTTCCAGAACCTTATATTCCACGCCTTTGTTTTTTCATTTCAATTTATCACAGGTATCGCAGTTTTTATTCATCGTGAATTAATTTTAAAAAAAACAAAGAAAGAAAATAAAAATCTTTTCGTCGAATTTAAAATAAGAATATACTTTTTGCTGTGCTTGGTGTAACAAATCCGGTTTTGAAAACGGAACTTTAGGACATCTGCTCTCAATCGTCGACATTTTTCTTCAGCTTCCTGCTCTTCTGTACTATGTTCGTTCTCGTTCGTTCACTCTCTCTCCCCTTCTCTCTCTCACTCTTTCTCTCCTTCTCTCTCTCCTTCCCCTTCTCTCTCTCCTTCCCCTTCTCTCTATCCCTCCCTCCCCTAATATAATCACTTATTCATATAATTGTACTAGTCGACACAAAAATCAAAATTTTGTTGGTCTACGGTTTCAATAATTCTTCTTATTAAATAAAAGATGCGTATTCGTGCGAGTCTTCCACCATCAAAACAAGGTTGACAGTAACGTCAATCGAGGAACAAGTGTCAACTTATATTGGGAAGACATTTCACCAATAAAAAAATTAACATGTATTCGATAACAACAAAAATAACGAGAAAGGAGATTATTATTTACTGAAGTTACAAAATAGATAGATAGATAGATAGATAGATAGATAGATAGATAGATAGATAGATAGATAGATAGATAGATAGATAGATTGTTATTTTTCGATGATAATCATTGATTCCTTTGTAATTTGAATTTGAAATTGAATCTGAAATAAACAGTAAGATTATCAAAGTTTGCTTTGAATACTTCGATGTAACTGGATCTAATTTCTAAAGAATACATTATAGATATTTAACACGTTTATTCTTATAGGATGAGCATCTTGTGACATGTTGAAGATTGACTCTGAAGCACATATGCTTCCATTCCATTATTCACAATATAAATAGCTCCGGTAAAGTAATTATTCTCAATGATATTATTTTGTTTACCTTAATTTGTCGAGCTTTTTTAAAAGGGAAAGAAAAAGACCATCGTGTACAAATGTGACATCTGGAAGAATTTGAAATAAATAAAACAATGCCAATGGCGAAAACAAACATTATTCTCATTCTTTATAGCTTAATAAATTTAACTTGACAAAATAAATCATAACTAGGCTTATATCGCAATTTCTAAATCGAAATCTAACAAAAACATAGATGTGATTATGTAAAGGTTCAAATATCCAAGATTAACGTGTCACGTTCAATTTTTGTTTCTGTTCATCTTTAGAAGCTGTTTATTGTTGGCTAGAAAGCAAATTTGTTTCGAAAAATAAAATGGTTGTTGATAATTACTAAGCTTAGTCTGCCACAAGGCCTTAAGTATTTCAGCCAATGATCTTTAAGGCTAATTGTTTAATGGTGATGCGGTAAATTGATGGTTAGGCGTATCACAGAACAAGGTCATAACTGGGAATCATTCGATGAAGATTAAATTCTCTACAAGAATAATGGTCTGCGAGACTACATGATAATCATGGCACCATGAGAAGCGTCCAAGGTGAGCATAGTCTGTTTGGAAAAATTCTTTAAGTCTTTTTTTATGTGTTCTACTCTTTGGAAACGCTAGAAGGTAATTGAGAAACGAGAGATGGAGATCGTGTGTCAGTGAAGGAGGACGTTGTGTAAGGAAGTGGGGAGGTAAAGATTTGCGGGCAGTGGCGGCCGTCGTGGTTGGTGCATTTGAAGAAGAAAGATCAACTCCGTGCATCTATCGCTTCGAATTTTAAGCCAAGTAACCACAGATGTGCTACAAGAAGACTGCAAGAAGAGCTACGGTAGCAGCAGGAGCAGCAATTGAAAAGGAAGAAAACGAAAGACACGGATACGGCTTTCTTATTATGGGAGAGAGAGCAGGGAGTAATCAGATTGGTCTGTTTGCATTGGGCCTGTTTCCCACTGATTACTCACCAGTATAACACATGCACGGGTAGTTAGCATGCACGAGGAGAAAGAACAGTGAAAGGGGAAGGGGTGGAAGAGGTGGAAAGGGAAGGAGGAGTGGATATAAGGTGGAGGGAAGGGGGAGAGGAGGAGGTTTGAAGGAAGAGGTGAGGTAGGAACAAAATAGGGGAGGAGTGAAGAGGAGGAGAAATCAGGGTTGTTGATGTAAAACTAGGAGGAAAAAAGCGGATTCGTAGAGAGAAGTAAGAAAAAGTGGAAGAGGGAAAACTTAAAGAAGAAGCTTTTATTAGGACAGGCAAAAAAATAGTTTAAAAGGGTGAATATAATAACGAGAAGAAGAAAAGAAGAAAAAACATCGAAGAAAAAAAATTTCGAAAGAAAATCAAAGAGAAAGAAAAAAGGGAATGTCGAAAACTAGAAAAAGATATTTGTTTAAAGTTTTTGATAGAAATGAGAACTGGATGAAGTGATAGAGAAGAGGAAAGATAAAGATATTGGAATATGAAAGAAAAAAGGAGATAGAATTGATAAGAAGAAAATTGAGGGAGAAATAGAAAACAAAGAAAGTAAAATAGACAAAAGGAAGAAAAGAAACAGCAATTAAAGAAGAAATAGAAAAAAATTACGAGAATCAATGGACTTTTTCATTTTAAGATTTTTTTCTTTTCTTTGTGCGTTTTTATTACTTTTGGTATTTTTTTTCATTCTCTTTTTCTTCTCTCTCTTTTTTTATCTTATTTACTATCGTTTATCAACATTTTCAACTTCTTTTTTCATTTCATTTCGTTTTGAATTTTTACATTTTCGTTTTTGACATTTCCTACTTTTTCTGACTCGTCTCCCTCTTCTGGTTCCTTTCGCTTTTCAGCGCGGCCAGTCGAGCTACGAATTAATATTGACTCAAGAAATAACGTTTCACTCACTGCCTTTTGCGTATTCTTGCTTGGTTTATCGAACATACAACAAAATAGACACTCACACATAGACACACCCGTACACACACGCACTCACTGTTAGAAAAAATCTACCCAGGGTAGCAGGCGTCATCCAGACTCCGCAGTGTCGATATTCTTTGCTATGGTTTTGGATGTATTTCGAATCAGAAGAATGAGACGATTCTAAAATCGACAAGACAAGTCTAAATGGAAGCAACTTTGACCGAAGAAGTCTCGTTGCTTTCCACCATTTTCTTTGACTTCTTTACTTTTCTTTACTTCAGACACAAGTGTAAATATTGTTGGAATGTCTATTCGTTTCTTTTTCATGGAGAGTGAGGTGCAATCGATTGACTGTTTGTTTTGTTTTTTAATAATTGATACGAGTTTCGGAGATTTTCTTCATTAACAATGATGATAAAAATAATGCTTACATATGTGCGCAATTTAAGAAAAGAAAAGACATGGTATTTAACAATATTTTGACGGTGTATGTGTCTTTTTCAGGTTATGTTTAAAAATGGCATACAAGTATAAAAACATGAAAAACTTATAAGTCTTTGTACAAACATCGTTTATCTTGAGAAAAACGGTTGTTTTTTGTTTTGTTTTTTCTTTAATCATTTTATCCTAAGTAAGGCCATAATACGACGAGGACGCAGAGGTTACAGGGAGTGAATGAGAACGAGCAGTCTTTCGTAAGAAGAAGTAAGGAAGAGGACAATAAAGGAACAGGGTTTGTATTGGTAATGAACGCGACAAAGCGAATGAAACGCAGCCAGCGTGAATGGAATGCAACTGAGACGTGAGTAACATGATGGAAATTGTACTCACTTGATTAGTTAGTAAGAGCAATTAATCAAAGAGTTTAAAGTATAAATCTTATGGAACTCTTGTTTCATTTTGTTCCTTCCTCTGGATCAAGATTTCAAAGGTCAGTGGATTTTAGATATATCCAGAATACATCGACATATCAATTCCAAGCAAGGCAATAAAGCCACTAAGATGCAAAGGTTACTGGGTGTTAAATTATATGAGAAAAGAGGATGCTTTAGTCAACAGATGTTATCTGCAATGGATAGAGAGAGACCAAGTAACAAACAAAAGTATATGAACATCGCAGAGATATTCTATATAAGAACAATTTAAACGAACTGGTGGTAGAGAGAGAGAGAGACAGACAGACAGATAGATAGATAGATAGATAGATAGATAGATAGATATGCATAAATAACAGAGAAAAACAGCGCACCTCACAAAAATAGCTCTACATGTATGTATGTATGTATGTATGTATGTATGTATGTATGTATGTATGTGTGCCTGAGTGTGCACGGTCATATAAGGGCGCACATATACATGTGCGTATATATATATATATATATATATATATATATATATAATAATAATAGTTTTATGCCTGTGTATATGTGCACAAGTATGCATGACAAAAAGGCACTGTGTTTATTAACATACATTATCCGAAAATTACATATAAAAATGGTAATTTTCAGATGACCACAACAATTTTCGTCCTTCACAACCATGGAAACTAAATACTCTTTTTTTTTTAACAATAGCCTGATGATGATATTATGCTAAGTCGAAAGTACTCGGAATAAATACAATATGAGCCAACACGGTGTTTTCCTCTTGCACAAAAAAGCTTATCCGGGAATATGAAAGGATCCTATCGAGAATAAGTAGACAGAACATATCTAAATTAATTAACGAAACATGTTTTAATGGAAATTCGCTGTCGAAATATACGCATATATATATATATATATATATATATATATATATATATATATATATATATATATATATATATATGTATATGTGTTTATGTGTTTGATATATAATAGTATCCGAAACAAAAGTGAAGATGATAAGGCAAGTGGAAAAATTTTAAACGCGTTTCGCCATATTCTCTCTCTCTCTCGCTTTCTGTGTGTGTGTGTATGTGTGTTTATCTATCTATCCATATATATATATATATATATATATATATATATATATATATATATATAATAATAGTAAGGAAAGAAATTAAAACATACAGCGGTTCTAAATTTTTTCAGCATATATATATATATATATATATACCTGCCTCGTCAATTTTTTTTTTCAGCATATATATATATATATATATATATATATATATATATATATATATATATATATATCTGCCTCATCAGACCGACTATATTTTATACCTGCCTCATCTAGTCGGTCTGATGAGGCAGGTATATATATATATATATATATATATATATATATATATATATATATATATATATATATGCTTAAGAAATTTAGAACTGTTTTATATGTTTTAATTTTTTTTTCTTACTATTATTTATATTGCTCTGGATATAAACTTGTATATTGAGCTCTCTTCATTGATTTGATTTTGTAATATTTTTATATTAAAAAAGACCTTCTTGGAATAATCCCTACCACTTACGGATTTGGTATTACATAT